GACTGATCAGTTGTACTAGTGTTGCTACGTTTAGGAGATGAACATCTAGACTGATGTTTAGCCTGAGTGGCAGGCATGTTGGTTCGTAGGTAGATCGACATGGTGAACTGACTGAGTGACAGGGGTGACAGATGTGCATACGGGCTTGATGAGTTACTAGTTTGCTGTATCTACATGCTTACCTTGAGATCAAGACAGCCACTATGATCGCCATCCACTTCGCCTACCTGACCGTTTATTCAACTGATAACCCAACTGACCGGTTAACGTGTCCAGCGGTCGGCAAATATGGCGGGTACTGCGTTTCCATACCACAGAACCCGCAGCCGAAATTCGGCTTAAGGCCCTGTAAGGCTGCGGATCCCTAATGACCAAAATCTGACCAAAAGACGAGAGTTGCAGCCTCTAAAGTACTTGAACTCTGTGTTCGATTTTGCAATTCTTGTAGGGTTACTGACGGAAATTATGCCCTCCCGCAGCCGCAAAAAACAATTTGCCGACCTCTGAACGTGCCTTTAACGATCGCTAGTCAGTCGTTCAGTTTACGAACCCCAGGTAGGGATGGCTAGGCTGGCTGGTTCGAAACGGTCGGTAACCGACGTGTTTATGCCATAGGGCTGGAAAGCGGTGCCCTTTCACATCGCGCCGCACTCTTGAGATGCGCACCATGGGACAGAACATGTTTTGGTGCAGTGCGACACGGCTGTCTCAGACCTGCCAAAAAGTTGCGAAGTGACCTAGCACGGAAGACACAACACTAAATAGGAGGCCAGTCGGCTTTACACACTGCACAATAACCAACCAACACAACCGCTGTGCAATCCGAACGCAGGAAACTACGCTTCTGTGAAAACCGATAAGGAGCCAGCCTAGCCATCCCTAGGTAGCCATCGTGCCGTCCATCGCAACTTCGCCCGCAAGAGTTAGCTAAACCGCGCACGTTTGTCGTCCGGCCGACGGCCTTGGCACCCGTGCAGCCTCCACCCTCCAGCTACCTGTCATGAACGCCCTGCAGAAGGTCATCGAACGCCGCTTGGCGTACCATATCCATATCCTCCCTATCTTACCAATAGGAGGAGGCTCCACAGAGCATGCGGATCCAGGCATTCTATGCTATTCTACGAGCACACGGCAAAATCCGTACGGGCCATAAACGTCATGCTGTGTGGCTGTCTGCCAGGATACCTCTCTGGGTTGCCTGACAGTTTTCTACGTGAAGCGTTGAAAACTAAGGTTTTCTGCGAATACGGAGTGTCTTTGCCGTATGGCGTACGAGCCAGTGTGGCTCTTGTGTCGCGGCACGCGACAGTGTTTGCTAATTCGGGTTGTTCGTAGCTACGTTTGGGTGCTGCCGTGAAGCGGTTGGTCTGTAGGCCTTGGTGTTCCGCTTCGTGGTAGTGTGCCCTCAATTACAATGTCCGATTCTGACAGCGAGACTTCGGTCAGCTACAACACGATGTACACCGAACTAAAAGCGCGACTAGTCGCACTTAAGGAAAATAAAGATGTCAAGGCTGCGCAGGAGCGTCGCGCCGCTGACCCGGGCGTGATTTTGAACAAGCAGCAGCTGGCTGCCATGGACCAGCTGAACGCCGTGAAGCTGCAGCTGACAACCATTAAGAAGCTTATGGACACGAAGCCTGACGTGCAGGCGGTCGACGGTCCACCGGCGAAGCGGGCCCGTGTCGCCCTTGAGGATTTCAAATGTGACTTCGGCGCCAGCGAGGGCAAAGCGAACAAGTCTCTCAGCGGACAGCGCGCGCATATCGAGAAATGCTACAATGCGGTAATGGACATTGAGGACGCGTGGCGCAACGTCCTCGCGGCTCGGCCCGGCGAGGAACGCTTCAGGAACATCGAGGCCATGGAGACTGCCATCACCGACGGCAAGGCCGTGTTCCGGGGGGTCGCGAAGGAGCTGGTCGTTGCATACAACCACGGCTGGGAGGTCGTGCATGAGATGCGTGGCATGGCGTACGCGGAGACGGAGGAGGAGCGCAAGGCGCTGAAGCAGGCCGTGAAGGCGGTGGCGGGCAAGAAGCCCAAGCAGGCCAAACCCGCGAGCGTGCCGGCCGGCTCTGGCGCGGGGGCCGGGGTGAAGCAGGCAGCGGCGGCGGGTGTCTGTTTCAAGTGCAATAAGCCTGGGCACTTCGCCAAAGAGTGCAAGGAGAAGTAACGGGGGGTAGTGTGGTGCGGGTGTGAGAGGTAATTCGCAGCTCGTGGGCCCGGGTAGGTCGTGGTGGTTTGGAGCCGACGCGGGTGTTAACTCGCGAGTCGGGGCCCGGAGAGGCCGGGGGGGTAACAGCCCCGTGGTGTTTTGGAGCCGACACGAGTGTTAACTCGCAGGTCGGGGCCCGGAGAGGCCGGGGGGCAGCAGCCCCGTGGTGTTTTGGAGCCGACACGAGTGTTAACTCGCAGGTCGGGGCCCGGAGAGGCCGGGGGGCAGCAGCCCCGTGGTGTTTTGGAGCCGACACGAGTGTTAACTCGCGGGTCGGGGCCCGGAGAGGCCGGGGGCAGCGGCCCCATAGCGTGGAAGCGTGTTGTTGACGTTCCTTTTGGCTGTAGCCTTGTGCGGGGTTGGGTGGCTAAGGGCACGGCCGCCCCCTCCGCGATTATTGAAGTTTCGTGGTAGTGTGCCCTCACCCGGCCCTACCCTTTCACGAAGACGTTCTTTCCTTGCGTGCAGGTACTTGTTTGTAACGTAGTCTTCGCATGAAAACTTAGTATGAAGGCTGTGGGACACTCGTTCTGCAGCAGATGGTCAGCCAGTAAGAGGGAAAGGTTGTAATATTGACCAGGGATGTCTTCTCTGCCGACAGGACCGTTCCACATCGTCCCACCTTTTGAAGTCATGTCATGCCTTTGTCCGAGGTTCAACATTACAGCATAAATTACCTGGACATCGCTACATGGCATTACAGTAGAGAAGGATGCTACCTTGTCACTGGCACTGGCGCTGGCCCCGCATAACGCTTACCTTCCAATAACTATCATACGCCATCACTGCACAAACCACCTCGAACACCTCACATGGGTCGTACTGCAGCTACGAAACATCCCCATCACGACAGTACCTTCATTGGCCTACACGCCCTACACGCCCAGCCCGGCCCGCAGGCCTGACCCAGCCCTGCCCTGTCCAACTCGCTCTTTGCCCCTACCTCCCGCCCTGCACTGGTTGGATCCAGGAACGGGCAAGGTCCCTAACAAGTGACGACTGCAACCACCACCACAACCTCCGACCGACCATACGACGACCGGAAACCGGTTGCTCCCCATTACCGCATCCTCCGCGCCAAAAGCACCTTGTAGTACACTGCTACTTACTCCGCTGCACGCACTGCACCTCCCGACGTGCACTCGCTTCAAGACCCCCACCGCTTGCCTGTACCACCTGCCCACCCGCGCCACTTTATGCACACACACACACACACACACACACACATATATACACGCACACATTGGTAACTTCAACGTGCGACGAGGTAACAAATCTCGATATAGCAGCCACAATTGTTTTTGCAACGGGATGGCGATTTGGGAAATGGTGGATGGCGAGGTGAAGGAATAACTCGCATACGCAAATATCACAACGCAAGTGTTGTGGTAAAACACTGCGATAGCGATCTCGCCCCAAACCGCAGGAGAGAGAGACACAGGAACGATTACGAATTCACCCACCACCAATGTGTCCCGAGGCACTCTTGTCCTGTGCTACTATCCTGAACTCGCACTGCCGTTGCATCAGCGAAATACATGTATTCATGCCGCCACAGTTGAAAGCATTATGGGGCACATTGCGATGTACTCCGCAACTACACACTTGTGCACACGGAGCACCATGCCTGCGAGCCTCAACAGCGCTCCCCAATATTAGTCAGTATCTGCCCTAATGGACCAAATACATTTCGTAATGACCCAAATCCCAAGTCGGCGCCTCTATTGCAAAATACAGAAACTTCCCGGCTTTGGGAACAACCGTACAACAGAGATGAGAGCCGAGAAAAAATTTATACGACGCAGGTACGGCGCCATACTCTCCATAATCGAAAAGTGCCTTCGACTTAATTTGCACACAAACAAGCATCAATAGATAAAATACGCACATACACACGGCAAGCACACGGACAGACATAATCTCATGCGTTGCATGTTTTTGCAAAGCCAACCCATTTCAAGATAACAGAGACACACACACACATGAATGCATTACAACATGTGTGTCCTGTTCTGGGTCGCTTTTGCCTTTTTGTTGCTTGCCTTTCATTACGAAAGCCTCCCTCCATCCCCCCCCCCACACACACATACGCGCGCGCATGTACACATTCGCTTTAACCACACCGCTTTTCAAGCCACACTTAACACACGCGGGTTGCTGTTGCTCACCTCTCGGAATGCACCGCGCACGGGCGTTGTTTCCATCAGACACGTCCGCGTGGCAAGAAATCCCAACTACATAGCAGCGAACCTGCCTCCCCACATAGGAAGGGCGATAGGGGGTAGAAGAGCACTTGCATCACACACTCCACGCTTCCCTTTACTACATGTATGCATTCTCCACTTGCCCTCGCCAGTAACATAACACAAACCTACAGACGCACATGCAGACTCATGTTTGCAGCCTCTACATGCTTTGCAACCCCGAGATCGCCCGCGACACCGCATTGTGCCGCAACGCTAGTGCAACCAGGGATGCAGGGACACGAACAAGGGAAAACGAACGACGGAAGCTTTCGACGATTCTGACCTATGGACGACGTATCCCACCACAACCACCCTACGAAACACATCGCATCGCAAAATGTAAGCGGGGTTCTTATATCAAATTGGAGGGTGAGGTTGAGATAACACAATCGACACACTCCCCCACCTCCCCCAAACATGAGCACATGATGGGAGGGTAGCGCAGTTGGGATGTGCGATCGTGTCAACGCTACACAGGGTGGTCGTAGAGGGCCCCGATCCCGTTGCGTCAGTTCGTAGCACGACATCACGCCACGTCACCCAGCTGCCGCCGGGGCAGCCGCCGGCTTGCTTGGCGAGTTGGTGGTGCTGGTAGTGGCACCCGCGGCCTGCAGACGTTGGCGTAGATGGCGTGAAGAGGTGATCGTCGTGGCGGTGGTGGCGGTGGTGGTGGGGAGGGGGGGGGGAAAACGCTAAGTGCCGAAGGTAAAGAATAGGAGGGAAAACAGGCGACATGGACATGCGGAGTTGCGAGGACGGTCACATCGTGGCATGTACCCCTTGCCCTTCCCCCCCCCTCCAACAACAAACCCCTAAGTGGTACAGCCTGTTACGCAGCAACTGACACAGCAGAGCCAAGGGCGCTGGGAGAGCATGCATGAAACAGACACACGAAGTAATCATTTCCACCTTCACAAGAGGCACCTTCCTCTGCTTTCCCCGAGCCGTTCCGCCATGCTATGACCACCCTGCTCACCAGGCTATGCCACACGCACACAGGAAAAACACACACTACTAACTCACAACACACGTACATACGTACGGCCATCGGATGGCACTTCTCTTCTCCCTCACTTCCACATTAGGGTGCAACCCCTCGCAGTCCCACATACACCACCACCCACCTCCAGCGCCTCCTCCTCCGTCTGCCGGCCCGTGTAAACCCCATCCACCGTCCGACCTGTCACCCCAGGCCGCAGCCGCGCCGCCGCCAGTACGGCAGCCCAGTCCCGCGGCGGCGGCGGGCGGGCGGGGTCGGGCAGTGTCCAAGGCTGTGAGAAGGGCACTGTGGAGCGGATCTCGAAGGTGGTGTCGGTGGCTGAGGGGCAGCTCAACAAGGCCACACACAGGTCCGCCACATCCTCCCGACTGATCTTGCCCTGGGAGTGGGTCGGGGAGGCAGAGGCAGAGGCAGAGGCAGGGGGGAAGCAACAGGGGGGAAAGGACAGGGGGGGGAGGCGGTAAAAAATTGAGCGGGATAAGGACGTGTGTCCATGTGTGTGCGGGGGGAATGGAGGGATACATATATGTGAAGCTAAGGAAAGCCGCAGCAAGGGAAGAGGAAGAGGGAGGAATTATAGACGCAAAGGTCGACTGCAGAGGAGTGAAAGGGGCAACAGTTGCAAGAAACGTCTGTGTGTGTGTTCGTGTGTGTCGGGGGAGAGCGGAACGTGGTAGGTTAAGGCTTGAGAAGGAAACCCGACTCGGGGACACGACATGCTACGAGCAGGATGGGGGTCTTCCTGGAAGATCCCTAGCGAACCCGGGCGAGGAAGAAAACGACGATAAGATTAGAAAGACATCTAAAATCAGCTGTACAGCAGCAGCGGGGTTTGCGCCGGGACAGGGAAAACACCGTACACTGCATAAAGGGTTTCGAGCCGAAAGCGAAATGGGGGGAGGTATGCGGGTACGGAGAAGGGGGAGATGGAGATGGAAGAGGGGAGGTGTATGCAGAATGCAAAGCCGCACAACTGCTAACGACCAGTGGTCGGGTGAAGGCGGAGCAGAAAGAGGAGGGGCCCGAGATGGTGGGTCGCCTCCTCAGCCGCCCTTTCGGTAGCGGCCACTAAGTTCACACCCCTTATTTTTCCTTCCTATTCCCTTCCTATAGTTGTCAGACACACTAACAAACATACATACTGCCGAGACAGCCGCCGCCGCCATATATATACCTCAGCACGACCTGCGCCCCCTTCGCTATGCCATTTTCTTATAAATCTTTCTTCTCACACACGCACATATCGACACAGCATTATTAGGGAAATCGACGGACATACACGCATACACAGACAGACAAAAGCACACACGCACCTTGACGGTGTCCCCTTGGTCCAGCTCAACCGGCATGCCGCCAGGTTCCTCAGTTAGGGCCGTTGGTCGTACAACGGCGAACGGCACGCCGCTAGCCCGCAGGGCATCCTCGCCTGATCAAGGGGTACAGGAAGAAACCCACACAAAGGCCAGGGGGGTGGGGGTTTTAGGAGGGGCCGGGAGCTCAAGAGCTCACCGCGTGCCAAGTGGGAGGGAAAAAGATGAGCGCGCGCTACTGAACAGGAAACAAGTCGATGGGAGAGAGGATGACGAGCGAGTCTGTCAGCCAGAGCCCCGCCTCCGACCCGCATCCCTCGCGCCCACCCCAGAACCCCACTTCGCCAACCGCAACCCCAGTCCCCGGTCGACAGCCCTACCCACTCCCCCCCCCACATGATTCCTTTTTGCCCTGGTCACTGGCCCGCTAGTGACATCTAAAATCCGGGTCCCGTGTTTTCCCCGCAAATCATTCGCTTCGCCCCCCTCATCCCTCATCGTCCCCCCTTCCCCACCTGCTAGCTTCCAGGTGAGTATGCCGCCCAGTGCGTCATTGAGCTTCACCGCGGGGGGCTCCTGATCCACATTGATACCGGGACGGTTGGGACGGGTGACTCCTGCGGGGGGAGGGATCACATGCAGGAAACAAACAATCAAATCCTCGTCGAGGAATTGAAGGGTGGGTTGGGGTGGGGTGGGAAGATGTTGGCCATGTCAATTGCATGCTGAGGGTGGGGAGAGGAGGGATGAGGTTCGGTGGGTTTAACGTGTAAGTAACCGAAAGGGAAAGCGTTGGCGTTTTAGCAGGCGGCAGGGGACCCGTGGGCAAGGAGGCAGGGGGGTTGGTCGTCCTCCTCACCACCATCATCGCCGCCGCCACCCCTCAAGCCACTTGCCTCTCCATCCTGTCGCTCATACGGTATTCTGTCAAACACCACCACTGACGCCACCGCCCGCTCTCCTCCCTGCCCTTCCTCTTCCCTTTCCTCCCTCCCTCCCTCCCTCGACCTACCCGCCGAGCTGACGTGTACAAAGCGGGGGGCCACACCCTCGGGAAGGTAGGTGGAGATACGGGCGAAGGGCAGGCGGAAGGGACCTCTCCGGAAGCTGGGGTTAAGCTGTCCGTCGTACTCAAATTTGGACAGCATGATCTGCGTGCGTGTTGTACGGGTGTGTAGCGGGTGTACGGAGGATGTGCGCGGGGGAACACAAGTCGTAGCTTGCGGGCAGCGCAAAGTAGGGACGAGGCGCCATAAGTAAGTAAGAAGACGAGGCCGGGGAGGCCCGAGCCCCAGGACAGGTCCGTCACGTCATGGCACATCAGACACACAGTAAAGTTTCTTTCAAGAGTACGGAGGAGGCGCCCTGCTGTGCCGATTCTGATCACCAAGGACGCAGAGAGCCCTCTCCCACAGCCTCGCCACGCTCTCCCACCTTCACGCAGCCCACCCCACGGTGACGGCCACCCCGATCTCCCTGTCTTCGCATGAAGCTTCATATATAATCCACCGCCTTTCTCTCTCCCTTAACACATGCACACACATAGACACGCGCGCGCACACATACACATCTCCGTACCCCCTCACACACCCGTCCAAACTCGCCTCCGCTCCCACTTCAGTTCCCCCCACCTGTATGGAGGATATGGTTGCGGGGTCCAGAGGTTGGCCCCCCACCACCCGCTTGGCTCTGAACACCGGGAAGAAGTCGGCGAAGGGGATGCGGATGGTTTGCCAGGTCCCCGGCTGGGTGTCGAAGGAGCAGCAGTAGGCGATGCCGTCCCAGTTGGCATCTGGGCGGATGATGAACTTGTAGCGCTGGGGGATGTGGTGGCGGTGCGTGTGTGTGGGGGGGGGAAGGGCGCCCGGGAGGGGGGCCGGGATGGGGGGAAATTCTGAAAACGCAATACAGCGGGGGAGGATGTCGACATCCAAATGCAAAAAAGCAATGCCGAATGGACGAGTGTGTGTAGTTGATAAAGGAGGAGGTTAGCAAGGGCTTCTTGGGGTGCTATGGGGTTCAGGAGAGAAGAAGGCATGCGAACCGGGACGTGACGCTGGGGGCCCCCTCGACGAGGTGAGTTACCACGTGAAGGGCCTTGGACACGTGGGGGAAAGTCGAACCGTGGGGGGAGCAAACGTAGGGGTTTTATTCGAACGTATGGAGACACAGTTCCGTACTGAAGGGAAGGGATCAGGTCAGGTCTGCTGCCGAAGTCGACGCCATCCGGCAACACCACACCACACCATGCCGGCGGTGGTACAGTAAATAGAGGGACCTATCAAGCCCACTGCTCTTGCCCCCCAAATCCTATCAGGATGCCGTCCGAGCAGCGCTTTGAGCGACAACAACACCTTGACGATTACCACAGTCAATCCAGGGCCTGCGCTTCCTTCCTGCGACTCGCTTGGACCTCGGGAATCCCGGCTGATCAGGCAGTGCATAGCTACACCATCAACGCCCACACAGATCCTGTCGTAGCTGTACATTCCCCGTCCCCTCCTTTTGGACGCATCCAAGCGCCATATGTGTGCATGAAGCCCTTCCCTCATCTCCCTTAACACACGCGCACATACGCACAAACACACATCCACAACACACACCTGGCCATCCCCAAACAGGCGCAGCTCGACGCCCTCGTACGGCGATAGATCCAGCGGCGGATCAAGATTGCGTGTTCGTACGGAGGCGAAACCTCCAAAGTTATCCGTGGACACATTGCCACTGCGGTGCGGGAAGGAAGGAGGAAGACAGGGAGGCGGCGCGAAGCACATCCAGACGGTAGGGCGGTGGAGGCCGTACCCCCGCAGGGAACACGGGAAGCGCGGCCTAAGAACAGGAACCCCCGAATGCCAATAATCAGGAGAGGAAGGGGACTGGCGACAGAAGACACCAAGTAAAATTTAGCGTCATTGGATGAAGGACAGTAGGTGAAGGGACCAGTCCTCCCTGGACAGCGGTCCGGCCCCTCATCTGCATTGTTCGCTGTATCACCCTCTTGCCGGCTTTAAAACCTTTCTGAACTTATATCAACAATACAACTGATACTCGAAACATATATTTCTCAATTTCTTCTTAGCTCGCCATTTCCCTTGCCAGCTAATTTGCAACCGATTTGCGATAACCAATATTCTTTCACCCACCTTTCCTATCCTTTATTTTCCACAACCCGTTCCGCCCCCCTCCAGCTACCCCGTTTGCTCACGCTCCTCACGCTCCCCCACACCTCAATACCCAGTGCTCAGCCCCTCTGAACTTATATCCTCCAACCCCCACCCCAGGCCCATTCAGGCCGCGTCCTCACCTGAACACCCATGCCGCCCCCCCATCCTCCCCCGCCCCGGTCACCAGCTCCAGCCCGCTGGAGGACACGCCGCCCATCACCACGTCATCCAGAGGACCCCACCGGGCTGCAGACTGGCCGGAGTGGTGCAGCAGCTGCACGCCACCTGTATGACAGAGAGCGGACCGTGTCGGCAGTCGATGCGGGAGGCTGCGTGTTTTGGGGTTTCGGCGAGTGGTTGGTACAGGGGGCTTTGAACTTGCCCTCACCCCCTTTGGGATGGAGAGATTGCGCGAACGGGAGGAGGCGGATGGATTCGGAGGCTGGAGGTGTTGGTAGGTTAACTGCTGACGAGGAAGAGCCCGCTAGGGGGAGGGCAAGGGGGCGACTGAGCGGATTGGGTTGCCTGTGTGTTAACAGTTTTGAGGCCGTAGAGTTGGTTGTGCGTCGCGTCGTTTCATTCATTACTCACTACTGAGTCTTTAGTCGTGGGGAGAAAATTGGGTGCATGCATATGGGGACTTGGGGGGGGGAGGGGAGAAGGCTGAAGCTCCGGGGCCCACGGGGGCACGCACACGCCTTGCGCACTGTGCATCCGTCCTTTTCCTCCCCAAACCTCAAGAGCTCTCCCGAGTAATCCCCTGGGTACAGTGCATGTGGCTTTGCCACCCTTTCCCCCCAAAGAGCTCCGGAACCCTGCCCGAGCCCATTTCCGCCTGCCTGCCACACACAGCATATCAAATCCCACCGATATTCCACCGACAGAAAGGAGCCCCCCTGCCCACCTCCCTCCGTGCACCTTGTCGTTCACCCCGCTTACTTCCCTTTATAGGTCCTCCTACCCGCCCGCCCTCCCTTCCCCCCCCTCCCCGGACCGCTCACCCTCGAACCCCAGGCTATCCGCGGCAGCATCCAGCAAGTTGACCATGCCGTTGTACTCCACCGCCTGATCGAGGGAGGAGTTACACGGGGTGGGGACCCATGTGGGTTCAGGGTTTGGAGAGAATGGGGGGATTCGGCGGGGTTGAAAAGGCAGTAGCAAGAAACACCGCCGTTGGGGTGGGGTAGAGCGGACGGAAGCGGCTGAAGGCAGGAAGAATTCCGGGGTGAGGCTTCAGAAGCTTGGAGGGAAATGGGGCTGCAGGAATACAGGCGATAGGTGGTTAGGATAGCGGTAGGTTGTGTGCCCACAGGTCAAAACGAGAACTTACAAGGAACGGACCAGCACCACCACTACCTAACCCCCGGCCCGACCCCCCGTACACACCACCTCATGCCGACCTTCCACCCCCCCTCGTACACACACACGCACACACACATGCGTCCGGCCCCAGTTCCCCCCGTCCTCTCACCTCCGGTGTATCCCCCACCACCTCCGGGTCATAGAACTTGATACCCTGGTAGTACTTGGCTCTGTCCGCAGTGTCGCCCTCCTTGGGAGTTACCTTGACAGCGGTGCAGCAAACAACCGCACGGACGCCCTGGGCAGCGACATGGACACAGTCACACAGCCAGACGGATGACGGACAGACGAACAAGCCAAAAGGGGGGAGTTGGGCACGCGGGGCCGGGAGGGTATAGATGGGAAGGGTTGGGCAGTCCCTCCGCGGTGATGCGATGCGATGCGAGGTGATATTAGCATGTAGCCCTCGTTACGTTGTTGCATGTTCATGGCCACGCCTGGCCTGATGTAGAGGTCCAGAGGACGCACAGTCGAAGACGAGCGACATGTTCTCCTAGAATGCCCAGCTTATTCTGAACGTCGCGTGCTTTTGGACATAATCCTTAACAACGATTCCGATATGAAGTCGATTATGATGGGGACAGCGAGCAAACAAAACTGGCCCACCATAAAATTTGGCTTACGCGCTCGTACTCTCAGGCAGGCATATTTGACAAAGTGTCTATGTTTCCCGTGTGTATATTGCTTGACCACTAGAACTTTTGCGTCATATCACGACTTTTACCTAACTTGTGGCTCACTTTGGCATCTGGCTCGTATGGGCTCGTTACACCTTTCTGGGTAACACAACCGCCAGGCGTAAAACACACACACACACACACTCACACAGACACATACACTCAAGCCCCTCCGGTCTGCCCTGGGCACGATCTCAGCACCCGTCCCCACCATGGCTCTACCCACGGCGCACCTCGAACATCTCCGGCAGCAGGGTCTGCCGCTGCACCACATCCGCAGCCGCCAGCTCCAGCTTGCCGCCGGCAGCCACGGGGAGCTCCGACTGCAGGAAAGGAAGATTGAAGATCGCCGTAAGGCAAATGGGGATGTCAATGGATGTCAATGGAAGAACAATCCAAATGAGGTTGCCAACCATCCCAATCGACCCAAACCAACCCGCCCCGGTTATTATAATTACTCTCCGTTATTATAATAATCACTAAGCCGGACGAGACCCCGATAGTCAACCAAGTGCCAGCCCAGATCGGCGTCGCACGTATGTATCCAGCTCGACTAAGCTCCAAACAGCCCAGGTCCTGCCCATCCTAGTTAGGGTTGGGGTAGCCTTAAGGAAAGAAAATCTTCTCATTTAAATCTAAATTAGGTCTAATCAGATGTAATGCAAGCTAAGAAGGAAGGGCTAGATCCTCATCTCAAATGGTGGCTACTGCTCAAATACTGACTGCATGGTTTGACCTGAAAATTGCAGATAGCTTTATCTTATCGTGAGAACACACTAGTTTTTTTAAATTTCGGGGCGGCAAAGCGTTATACATGAAAGGAAGGGCCCGCGAGCCGTCCACAGCACCTTGACCCACGGGTCACATCTCACCAAACTGCTATCAAGGCTCGCCACCTCGTTAGAGCCAGGCTACATCGTTAAGGCCCTGACTCTGTCTCACAAATTCATCCCACCGAGCTACACCACCAAGGCCCCCATAGAGCACCGACGACGGGTTGGTGCCGCTGAACGTCTTGCCGCAGCGCTCACAACCAATTTTGACCAAAATGCCCAACAGCAGGACCTTGAACATTGTCCACGCTTCTTTTTTTATGTTTTTTTCCCTCAGCTTCTCTCAGTACGCCTTTGGCGAGTAATTCTTGCCATCATACGTGTACTCCACTTTGGCCACTTCACAGCCTTTTGCTTACTCGTGCTAGAGGAGCGAGCGGATCCACCATTGCTAGGTTTGGCGGAAAAGAAACGCCCACGGAAACGAGTACAAGGAGCCTTTAGGACGCCTTCTCAGGTTTTGTAATGCCGTACTTTAGCTAACTAACGAGGTCCAAACGTCCAATCAGTCCACCCGCATCAGACCAACCCGCTCACCAGCATGGACTTGGCCTTCTCCAGGTCCCTCACGAGCGCCCTCACGTGTTTCCCAGCTGCCAGCAGACGGGACACCACTCGTCGACCCACACCACCCGTAGCGCCTGCAAAAGCAGGAATAACAACAGACACCAACACACACACAATCGTGATGCAGCGTGGTCTCTTCAGGACGGAACTTACGGCAGCTAGTAGTGGGGGAAAGACGAACCACAAACGAGTCAAGCTAGTAGTGGGGGCGGGATATGGCGCGTGTACGGGCAGCAGGCGCGTACAGACAGGCTCGGAATGCGTCGAGCAGCGGGCGGGTGGCGTTAAGGAGGACGCGGCAAAGGATGGGGCGTCCGTGTCGCTAAATCCCTTTTTACTCTTTTACGTACCTGTGACCATGATGATGCCCGTGAGGGGCACCTTGGCTATTGTGGCGGCGCTGGCGGGCGCCGGGGGGAGATCCACTGGAACAACAGATTCCACCTGGAGGGGGGCCAGGCGCACCAGAGGGCGCGTGTGCGTGCATGGTATGTTGTGCTTATTGGTGATAATCGGAGCCGCCGCGGGGGCGGAAAATGGGGAGCTGTGCATGCATGTGTGTGCATGTGTGTGTCTATACATCCTATTATTGCCGCGTGTGCGTGTGCAAAAGTACAACATCAGCATAAACAAACCACCGCACCACAGGGGCAGGATGGGTCGAAACGGGGCCAGGCGAGGAAAGGGCTATACAAACCAGCAACAGACATCTATTATGCGCTTGTAGTGTGCGTGTGCTCCAAGCTTTGGGCGCGTGGATGTGCGTGTGTGTACTGCAGCATCCGTTACGTGTCCCGTTACGTGTGTATGAGAGGATCGTAGAGAAGGGGCGAAGGCATGCGAGCTGGACACTTGTCACTGTATAGCCCATACTTCAAGCTTGGCGGAAGCCGGGGGCCGTGGGCTACTGATATGCGGCCCCTTGTGAATGTCACCACACATGCAGGGGCCCCACATGGGGGATTGTTTGGACAAATCCGCCGCTCAATGTGTGTGGCTGTAAGAGAAGAGAAAAACAGGACTGAAAAACACCAACCCCGAGATACCCGCTTGGGATCTGCGTGTCCCGACCCGCAAGTGAACGTGTAGGTGCGCGAAACTCCGCGCGGGCAAAGCAGCACGCGGGCTAGGGTAAGTCGCTAGGTCGCAGGACGTGTGCTGATAGAGGGAGAAACATAACAAGGCGTGTGGATTTGGCCCGCCCTGTGAATCAAGCCCCATCGTCAATCCAATCCCGGATGTTAGAAAGCGTTCACGGGGCGCGTGGGAGGTTCTTCCTCGGCACTGTCCTCCCTCCCACGCAAGGAGAAGCCATGGCTGAGCAGGGCCGCTTACTGGGGACTGGGGGTTCAGCTGCTTCAGCATGTTGGCCAACACCTTATCGGGGGTGGGAAGTTCATTGAAGTAGGCGACCGTCTTTAGGAACCTCAACACGTCCCAGGGTTGCCTTCCAGATCCTCCTGAGGGGGAGTCACACCGTTGACACGAGGCGCGACATCCCAAAGCACCGGAAAAAGCGATGGCACGATTGCGGTGGCGTTACCTTCAGTTGTATCTGCTTGAACTACAATGAGGCGCTGGCGAACCCTCAAGGTCGCTGCACGCGCTGGGCATAGCTGCGGCCTAGCAGCCGATATAGTGCCCGTGGTCAAGCCTGCGATCAGATAGTTGGGTCGCGATTCCACTATGATACGTTGTGCCACTTCGCCACAAGTTGAAAGCTGGGAGCGCGGCACAAAGTTTTATGTTCTCCTACCGTGAGCAGACAGCATGGCTCGACCTCGTCAATAACTGGTCTGCCGCAAAACGCTTCCAAGCTCGTTTTGCTTTAGGAACAAGGTTCTGGTTAAGGTGGCCTTCCCCGCCACGAACTTGACTACACGATCCACTCCGTCGCTAAGTGCTTTAACAATACAGCGTCTTGGGGGGATAGTTACCTTATACACGTGTTATGACAACTTTAAGAATGAAAGTTGGTAGGGAACCTCGGGAGAGCTCCTCACCGTCGGTTCCAACCAACTAACCCAACGCATACGAACTTTGGCCAGTACCACTGTTTCGGCGATCGAGTTGTTACCAAGCTCGTCTACGCAAGCCATAGAGATATGAAAATTTGCGCATCTCGCCGAAAGTTGCCCTTTCAGTCTCCTACATAAGCGGGCCAGCCGTCGGCAACGCTAGTTCTGCCTGTTCCTTTGCATGATGACAGTACCGATCCCGGGAGCAATTGTACAAAGGGAACTGTGGGGCGGCGCTGTAACTTGTGCGGTGCCGGCCAGGTGCGTGCGGAACGGTTTCGGCATTTTTCCTCGTTCCAACAGCAAGACGTCCCAGCTATCGAGGCAAATGGGACGTCAATCCGACGATCGCGTCAATCCGATGATTGCACCAATCCGATGATCGCAACGGTGCGAAATTATCGGTTGCTGCAGCACCCCGCTGGGGTGGCCTGACCTTACCCCTTTCCCCCCTACAAAGCGGCCTTAGCCAGTATGTCGACCCTTAGAGAAATGCCTTGTGGCTGCAAACGCGTGCAGGATGCTGGACGTTAGCGATATCCGCCCTGTGCCAGATCACCAAGAGGTCTTTCTGGATTCGGATGCTGACCAGGCGCTGATTTTTGAAATCGTGGTACGGCACGTTTGAGCTGTCGCCTGCAGAGAAGGCATCCTTGCTAGGCTGCACATTTGCGTAATCTTCGGCCCCGTACCTACCCAAAATTCGTGGACATTATCCTGTCGGCAGCATTTCCCGCCAGGGACCAATCCTCAAGGAAGCAGTGTGCTAGGCAAATATAGTTAAGATTCTACTGTTTCCCAAAGAGGAACTTAACGAACGTGTTCGTTAAGCTCGTTGAAGTCTCCGGCTGTTAGGCCCCTTGATTCCCCTTGTCAAAAAGGGAACACATGGCTCCGCCCTAACGTAGTTAATATACGGCTGCAATGGCGCTGATATGCCAAAGGACAGTACTATCCTTCCATAGCAGTTGCGTCATAGGAGCTAAGGATTCTGTACCGGTATCAGCTGCGCAGCTACTCCAAGGCCCTATCCCCATCCATGAAAGCTCCTGATGTTGACCCGGTGTGCAGGAGCACGACGGGGCCGTTGCAGACACGGATTGCGGGCGGCATGCCTTTGAGGATGCGGCAGAAGGTGCTGGTGTCGAACTGGGTATGGGTGAATGCATGTGACAATGTGGGGCTCGGCTGCTGATGGAACACGCGTCTCCCAACAAGGGACAATGTGATTCTAAAACTGGGATATCTGCACGTGCACCTTTCGCTCACTTCATTGTTCACGCGACAGGCAACGAGGCCACCTCTCATACGCTGGAAGCTGTTACCAGCCTAGGTAAGCACACGATAATAAGGGAGTGACCGACCGCATGGGAACACAGGGCACTGGAAACATTTTGAGTGCCATGGTCTCCTGTACTTGTGGTGGCGTGTTTGAATGTCTTCTGAGAGGCATCTCACCTGGGATGGGCACTTAAAACTGTCTACCCACCTTGCCCTGCATTGCGGTGTCCCCGCTTTGCTTTGCTGCTGCGGTCGTCAAGTCATGACTGGTGTGCCCTGGGGCATTGCAGAGGCAGCGGCGGTTCCCAACGTGCCAGCGACCGCCTACAAGTGCCTCGTGCAAGGTCGTCAGATGGTTCGGCGCGGCCGCGAGGCTAAGGACACGGAGGTCATGTTGGCGGTGCTGCGGTTCCCCCAGGTGCAGTCAGATCTGCTCATCAGTCTCAGTACGCCGGCAGCCGCGGCCGAGTCGCGTTCGGAGGCCACGGCGATAATTGCACAGGTTCTGGCCACGCTTGAAATCCTGGACTGGAGGCTCTTTGGGGCCGGAAGCCAATGATCCGG